CCTCCTGCATGAGCTGGGCGCGCTGCCGCTCCTGCTGCTCCCGCAAGCGCTCCTTGCGCTCCCGCTCCTGAAAGCCTTCGCTGAAGGGGTTGTTGTCATCAAATTCCACCCGCGGGGGTGGTCCGCTCTGGGGGCTGGCGCTTGACACCGGCCCCGAGGTGGGCGTGCAGGTTTTTATAGGTAACTGGGTCACGGTGGGCTGAATCCTGGGGGTGCCAAGGGGGAGGTGAGCAGGGGTGGCGGCTGGCTGCCATCCAGGCAAACCGGGCATCCTGGCAGGGCTGCTGTGGCCGGACAGGACGGCCGGGTGCTGCTGGTGCTGCAGCTGCTGGGGCACCAGGGGGAAGCCAGGCTGGCTCATGGCCGGAGGGGCAGGCGCCGCCCCCAGCGGCGGCTGTGGCTGGACTCCGGGCAGGACCCCCGGTGGGGCCAGTGCACACTGCTGCTGCTGCTGCTGCTGCTGCTGCTGGATCCGGTAATCCTCGATCAGCTCGGCATGCTCCTTCTGCTGCTTGCGGATCTGGACAACGAGAGGCAGCGTTACCGTGTGCACTGCGGTTATCAAGCGGATAAGCCGGCTGCGGATCATGACAAGGTGAAGCCCACACAAACAAAAGCATCACCAACGACCCCTGGCGTAACAGCAGGACTCTACTAATGTCGTCGTGGAATAAAATGTCTGACATATGAAATACCAAAACCACATTTGAAATACTTTCTGAAATAAACACGAAGAAAAGTTTCTGGTCCACGTTAAGTGTCGTAAAGATCACGTGAAGACTGACAGGAATCAGCTATTTGTCAAGTCTTAGAAGTTGGGTTAATGCACTGGGTTAGAAAAACTCCGAACTCAAACTTCATTTAAACCTGACAAAAAACTAGATTGGTAAACCCGAAATCACTGGTCACAGTCGGAGCGAAATCCTGGAGCATGTCCACGGGGGCTGGCTACGAGGTGACTTCCCTCCCCAAACCCCCCATCCCCCACGTGCCCGCAGACATCCAGACCCTGCGTGCTCACACCTCCCGGGAGAAACTGGGGTGGAGGAGGGGACGGCACTGTCCCTCGGTGGCTGAGACATGCAGAGCCGCACACAGCTTCCCTGAGCACCGAGGGGCTAGCAGCTTCTCCGTGGCCTCAGTCCTTCCTGACCAGGCTGCTGGTCGGAGCAGAGGATGCGCCGTGGGCCGAGCACTGAAGCGTGCCCTGAGAACAGCACCTGGAATGTCCACGCCTGGCCTGCCCGGGCAGCATAGCCAGGTTGTGGCAACCACACAGAAGCCAGCGACACGCTCAGTGACTAGCTTCTAGGTAGGGTTTTGCTCCACACGTCTGCAGTAACTAGGCCTTGACCCACCACAGGGAACATACAGAAATATGCTGGAAGGCAGTAACAAAATGGTGAAAACATTTTCTAAGAAATACCTAGCCTTTAACGAGACGATGTGCCACCATGGGAAACCAAAGCTCATATTCTAGAGACTTCCGAGTCTGAGCCCCCCTCATGCTGGCTCGCTGTCCTGGAGGCGGGGCAGCGACCTCCAGGGGCTGGCCAGTGTCCTCAGGCCACGCGGGCCGACCCGGCAGTGCCCCTGCGAGTCAGCGCCCTCAGAGCCGACTCAGAGCCCTCAGCGCTCGCTTCCACTAACGCTTGCGTGACTCTTCAAATGAATTTTAAAAATTCAAATCGACAAAACCAAAAAAGACATTCCGAGATGTACAACTTTATGGACCTCAGCGCGCGGCCGTCAACACAACCGCGGCCCGGGAAGTCAGCCTGAAACCCCCTTGCGGCACGTCATGGTCAGAGCCTGGCCCCCCAGCTCACCCTCGAGAGCGGCGCTATGTGGAGGATGTCAGCGTGGGGCTGCCGGTTGTATCGACAGCTTCTTCTTTCAGACCTTGTTCGGCCGTTTGACCCTGAAGGGTTCTGGGCGTGGCTCCAATTTTTAGAAGCCATGGATACAACTGCTATAAATACTAGGGTTACAGGTCTCTGCACAAACCCAAGTTTTTAGTTCACTTGGGTGAAGACCTAAGACTGGGTCTTAAAGTGTTTTGAACACCACCACTACTTTATTTTAAACTTCTCTTTTTAAATATCATTTTTATTACAGCGCACATGGTGTTTTGAGGAAGGCCTGGTTTCTAATGGAAGGTAACAGCAAAGCAAACGGCCTTATTTTTCAAGAATGAGTCCTTCACACCGTAAGATGCAGCTGTGTTTTAAAATCACAATATTGCGGGCCCTCCCTGGTGGCGCAGCGGGTTAAAGCACAGCACTGAGAGTCTGAAGCCACTTCCGCATGAGTTCGATTCCCGCCTGCCGCCTGCCCCGGAGGAGACCACATGGCGAGCCAGACCTCTCCTGACCCGCCCGCTGCTCCCCTCAGCAGTGTACTTCGTCAATCTGCCTGTTCTGCTCCCCACTCTGTCTCTGGTGAAGCCTCTCACCGTCCCTGAGCCTCTGGCCTGTACCCCAGTTCTATATGAATAAATAAATAAATCTTTAAAAAAAAAAAAATCACAATATTGCAAAGAAACCATAAAATCAACCATGATTTAAACTGTTTCTGAAACGCCTCTAAGAACCTGAGGAGAAGGCAGAGGGACAACTGCGAGTGCAGACCCCCAGGCTCCCCGCCCCGGACGCCCCAGTTTGCGGCCGGAGTGTGGACGGGCGACAGCCCCCGCATCGTGCCGCCACGGCTCTGGCGAGTCGAGGACGGCCGTCCGAGTGGCGGCGTTCCCAGGGCCCTGGCCTGCTGGCACGCTCTGCGCACCACCCGAACCCAGTCCTGCACCCCTGGCAAGGGGCAGGCCGGCCCGGCGCCCCGCTCGCCAGCTGCGGGGACCTTCTGTTTGCGTTACCTGCTCCAGCTGCTTCTGGACCATGCTCTGCTGTTCGGTGACGTGCTTGAGCTGCTCAGCATCCTCTTCTGGAAACTCACGCCCAGCTTTCTTGGCTGTACGCTGCTTAGCTGAAAGGGCCTTCTTAGATTTTCTGTGGGCACCAATTTGTTCTTCAAGGTATTTCTGCTGCATCTGGAGAAGCTGCTGGGTCTCCTGGAGCCACTCCTCATACTGCTTACGCTGAGAGTCATCTGGGGGTAAAACCGAAAGGCCCATCTGTGCTAAGTTTGCTGGGGTCTGCCGAGAGTCCAACACAGTGAGTCACACAGTTCATTTATAAGGAAATGCATCTCGGCCATGACCTTGTCACATATTTTGAAAGCACAATACTGAACTTCAGACCACAATGGACTATGAAGTAGGAGATTTTCGGAAAAATATTCAAGGAAGAGGCAGAGCCGACAGGCCTGAGCAGGTCTCGGGAGGCCTCTGCAGCAGTGGGCTTGCGCCAGGTACGCGCTCACCTACTGGCCCACAGCAGGCCACGTGCTTTGCACGTGTGCGCCAAGCACCCGGGCCTGCAGGCTGTGAAGAGACAGGGCCCTTCCTAGCAGGGCCCGGAGGCGGGTGCGGGAGGGCTGCCCCGCTCTGAGGGCCCCGCGTGCCTGACGTGCCCTGCTCCTCGGCCGGGACTCTCCTACGCTGCAAGGGCGGCAGTCCCGCAGCTTTGCAAAGGGCCGATCGCAATCTATGTCTCGTAAGGAAAGTCTAAGTCACGCAGCGACAGTCCCTTTAACTGGCGTACGCTGTGTGCGCGCGAAACGCCTACGCAAGGAGAGCCCGCTCCTCCTGCGGCTGCCCTCCCTCCGCGGGCCGGGCCGGGGCGCCCCTGCTCCGAGGGCACTTTACTGCGCCGACACCAGGTCCCCGCCCCCCCAGCCCCAAAGGGTTTTCTTATGGTAGTGAAGTTCTGAATAAGCCTTTCTGACTCGCTAGCAAGACAAATGAATATATACAATTCCAAGGACATTAGCTGAAAAATTACATCAATGTAACAGAGTATCGTCATACAGTCAGAATCCAGCCAAAGCCAATGGGCACAGTAAAGCCAGAAAAAGCCAGTTGGTCACAGCAGTTGATTTGTTTTCAATGCAAATATGCTCAAATTATAATAGTAATAATTTATGCAGGGGTAATTTCAAAAGGTCGGACTTTGGGTTTGTTCCTAAACCCAGAAGGTCCAGTACAGGTATGAACTTGAAATCTAATCTAACGAATTTGAAGGGCATTTTTCAAGAACAGGCTTTTTCACAAGATTTCAGAAGTTCTGCTTCTGGTAGAATGAGACCTACCGCGAGGAAAGCCTTTCTGGTTTCTGGAACCAGGAGAGCAGAGGTGAGCAAAATGAAAAATAACGGTGAAAAAAAGTTAGCTAAACAGTCTGAAGATTTCCGAAAGGTGCAGTTTGGGGAGAACTCGGACAGCTATTCTGAACCACCTTGGGGTCCCTGGAGGGAGCGAGGCGGAACTCGCGGGCATCCCGCGCCTCCGTCACACATGCTGCCGCCCACTCTCTGCTAAGCCGCGCCCTGGCACTCGGGCAGCCCGCCGCTGCGGCGACGGGCGGCTGAGCCCTAGGCCGCCGAGTGCCCAGTCTACGCACAAAGCAGCCACGGTACTGGAGAGGGGGACGGCATCTTCCGTGTCGGAGATTCTCTAACTGTAGCTCTTCATGCAGAGAAAGTAAAGCAATGGAAATACATGCCTTGAAGAAGAGACGCTTCACAGGGCAGTGGCGTTTCGTGGGAGAGGGCACTCAGGCTAGAAGGAGCACAGCTAAGCCAACCCCACGTTTTGAGAAGAACACAGATGTAGTGCCAACAAGCAATCCCCAGAGAACATGTAACTTATTAGATTTATACTTACTGACAAAGCCTGGACCAAAATTTGGAGGATTAGGCCTAGAAATCTGATGTGTTATACTGCCATCCTAAAATAAGTAAAATTTACAAATAGGTTTATTCCACATTTCAGTTAAAGGGGAAAAACTTTTAAAAAAGAAAGAAATGGAAGGGGGGACCCTCTAGTTTCCTACAACACCTCTGACTTTTATAAAAAGCAGAATTACTTAGTGTGACAACCGAAAAGCTACAGCTCTCTCTAAACCACTCTGTCGCCTAGATTTCCAGGGAGTGACAATCATGGGTGCAGGAAGGGGTGAGTCACCAAAAATGCAGCCGTAGGCAGGTCAAGCACTTTCAGACCTGGGCAGACGCCCACGCAGAGCCTTGCTGGGGGACAAAATCTACCTCGCCTCTTCTGCAGGGGAGACCTCTGGCCTGGGCGGGTGCCAGGGCTCCCGGGCCCCACTCCCCAGAGCCGAGCCCTGTGTGAGCCGGAGCCAGGGACCCCGACACGCACCAGTAAGAAAACATACACACCGACTCGGCGCCAGCCCTCCTGCTGACTGAGTGTGCCTCCCTGGGTGGGGGCGGGCGTGGGGCCCCGCGCGCCCTGGCAACACTGTGAGGAGCAACGCTAACTGGCAGGCGGTCCCAGCACACACTGGCTCGGTCGTCTGATTTCTGCGGGACGTGCGCTGCATCTAAAGGCGGCCGCCAGTATCACACGCGGCCCCGCCACACTGCGGCGCGGACGGTGTCGCACTTGACATCCGGAAGGCGGGGCAGAGGCTGCGGACTGTCACAGAGGGCTGCAGTGGAGGGAGTTTGGGACTCAGCTAGAGAGTCAGTGCTCCGCCCACGTCAGATGGTGTCTCTCTCGCTTAATTAATGCAAACAATATGCCTATTAGCAAAATAAACGTAAAGCATGGCGGCAGGGCAAAAAAGGAGCCCCAAAGTGTCACACCGTAGGCGGTTCTCGCTTTTCCAGCAGGTACATGGGAAAAAAATCAGTGGAGAAAACATGAAATGAGCAGTTCTGCTGTCCTGGACACTGCGCGACACTGAATACTAATGATTTTTACATTTAAAATTACTCTAAGTGCTAAATAGTACAAACACACACAAAACCAGGACTCCGAGGAGTGAATGGCAGCGCATGACCACAGCTAGAAAATGAATCAGTACTTTCTGTCTAGAGCAGCTTTCCGTTTTAAATATAACGATTCATTCCAGGGTGTAGGTCATGGAAAGGTCTGGAGCTCAAGGTAAGCAAAAGCCAAAAGCCCTGAGCAGCTGGCTTCCCTCCGTGGCCTTCCCATCCTCAAACACGCGCGTCCTTCCCAGCCAGCAGCCACTCTCTGGCCTCAGCCATCCTCGCTTTACAGTGGGAAAAGCCTTCACTCTGCGGGCCGGTGCTGGCGGTCTAAGGCCCCCACTGCCTGCGGCGTCACCGTCAAACGGGCCTGGAGGCTGGGGACGAGCAGATACCTGAGCGAGCGCCTGCGGCGGGAGGTTCTGGCCTTCGCTGTTCTGCGTCCCGGGCACTGCCGGGCCCACAAAGGGGAACCTGCGGAGGAAGCACTGAGCGTCACGTGGCTGCTGCGGGAGCGCGGCTGCGCGGGAGGCCACGGAGTGTCTCACCCGAGCCACCCTCAGGCCCGCGTGAGCTCCCCGATGCTGCAGCAAGGACCACTGTGCCCGCCACCGGGGGCCCCAAGGAGGCCGGCTCGAGGCTGCGACTGTGGTGTTTCGATAAATAAAGTGGGTTTAATTATATGAATTATAAGACTATTTCTAGACCCAACTAGCAGTTTTTGACAGCTTAAGTGTTTTGTGCTCTATACCTCAGAAGATGCACTCTCAGTCAAGAAGTTCCGTTTTTACACATTTCTCTATCTAATGTTAAATAAAATTAAAAAACGCTCACTGACCAAGAAGAAAGCTCGACAGTGGAAAGGACGCAGATAAACATTCTCCCCATCAGCCGCAGTCGCGCCCAGAAGCGCCCCTCGGCAACCAGCCTGCAGGCGGCTCCACGCTGTGGCCTGCGGCCTCCCCCCCGCCTCGCCCCACCCCGTGACAAGCCCTGACAAGGAAGGAGCGGCACTGAGCTCCCCAGGACCGGTGCACGGCCTGGTCAGGGACAGGCTGCCCGTCCGTGGGGCCCCATGGCCCACCGCGCCACCACGAGGCCGGCAAGGCTGCACCTTCTCTCTGGCGCTCACGCAAAGCCCCAGCGCCGCGGCTGGCAGGCTCGTGCTCTGCCTGGCCAGAGGGGAGAACTTTCCTAGGGTCATCTAGGTTAAGGTTCCCTTGAAACCGCCACAGCCACACAGCCTCGTCAAAGCCGCCAGGGAGCAGGCATCTCCGAGTTCTCGCCACGGCATTTCCCATCGTGGGTTTCCGTTCCATGCAGCCTCTGCCTTTGCCTCTGCTTGCTGAGACGCTGCTCGGCAACGAGCACCTTAGAAGCACCGACTCTGCTCTTAGCCGTGTCCCGGGTCCCAAGCACTGAACCAGGATACACCTGAAGGGCTCGGTCACCTAATAAGACTCCTACTTCTACACTGCCTGTGGCGTTTATATCCATTTCCGCCGTAATTCTGACTCTGTCTCCAGGCCTCGGGCCGGCCTGTGATCCTGCCTCCGACAGCCCCACAGCTTTCTCGTGGTCCATAAGCAACACCTAGGCGACCTGCCCCGTGGCTCCTTCTTCCCCCAAAGGGGGATAAATACTCCACCCGCAGCGATTCAGAGCGAGGCAACTCTGGGTCGCCTTCAATGCCTGTTTCCGGTTTTTCTGCTAGCAGCTAAGGGACCGAGAGCATCTGTGCGCCTCTCTGACGTGCCCTCTTGCCAACTGCTCGCGGCGAGCTGAGAAGTGCCCCCCCCCCTCCTCAGGTGGGTAGCATGCCCTCACTGGCTCCAAGAACGATCTTCTTCAACATGCCCCATGAACTACCGCTGGCCTGTTGATCTTCTCATCCACTAGGGCGGGAGATCTCCAGAAGCCCTAGGAGCTCTCGGTCAGCACGACAACTCGTATGTGTTCACAAGAACACATGCTTCACTGCTTTCAATTTCCTGATTAAATAAATTGCTCTTCAAGCTTTCTGGGGAAGTTCTATGCTCTCCTTGAAACTAATGGAAATTAAATCCTAACACTTCTATAGCCTTTTTCAACTGATCGTATTCAGATGACACGAGAGGCAATCTAACGCTTTCTGTGCGTCCCAACAATATGATTTGAGCTACTGAGCGCTCTTCCAAAGACCAGCGCCAACACCGGCGCGTCCCGACGTGAGGAGGCCGCGAGCCGCCCTGCTCACCTGGTCATCACCACCGGCGGCATGCCCATACTGTTCTGTGCCATCACTTTGTTTATGCCTTTTAGGGCCACCATTTTCGCCTTCATTATAGGGTCTGTAATTGCGTCAAAATCTAAAGAAGAAATGTATTTTCCAGTTACTTATTTCACAGTACCCGGCTCAAGTCACACAACAAAGAAGTACTATCTATCACTGATAGGATACAATTTACAGGTCCTCACGCCTTACGATTTTATAATCCCTACCAGAGGCTTCCACAGGAGGGGAGTTAGGGGGCGGCTGAGAGCCCTGTCTCAGTGCAAGCCATGCCTGCAAGCACACGAGTGACTCCATCCCACCAGACTCAGTCAGACTAACTCAGTCGGGATTGTAGCAGTCAGTGATAGGAGCAATGCAATTTTCCTCAGAGAATTTGCACAAGTTGTGAAGCTGTGCAAAAGCACTTCTTCAGTAATCTGACATCAGCCATGAGCGCCTGCAGTCACTTCTACTACTAAGGAGCTCCACAAACTTGGTCATCACTCTTCAGGAGAAAAGCGCATCAGACACCAAGGGCGCACGTTGGCAGGGGACAGGCTGCCGAGACACGGGGCTTCGCAGAGAATCAAAGGAAGAGCCCAGTGGTGAAACTGCTGCTGCGTACAGGCAAGCGGGATTCGCGTGGCTCGTGTCTTTTCTCGCAACGGCCCTTTCTCATTCGGAGGAAGCATCCCAGCTAATGGACGCTTTCAGAGCCCCACGGACTGTGTCCTGGGACACTCAGGTGTGCCTATGCATGGCTGTGATGTCTTTTTAGTCAGTAAGCCGTTAGGAATAGGCTGACGAGCTTTAGAAAATTAAAAAGCAAGCTGCCAAGCACACCACTGTGGCAGCACTGGCAATGACTGCTACAAAGACCTAAACCAAAGAGGGTCTCGCTTCACTGACCGGCATCCTCACGGACCTGAACAGTCTGAGGCTCGGAGCTCTCAATTCTCAGGGTTCACCAGGGAGGCACCCCAAACTAACTGTTCTCACTTTGAAGCTGAGGCGAACAGAAGCAGAGCCTCGGGGCTCCACGGCCAGTGTCACCTGAACGTGCAAGCTCGGCAGCAGTGGAGCGAGCGAGCGAGCGAGCCCGCCCGCAAGCCCGCCCGCAAGCCCGC